AACTGTACAAAGGATAGTGCAATGTGATCATACATTTAGTAAGTGTCAGGTACTTCTTTCTCTATTTCTCGGCTCTTATCTCACGCTTACCAGTTTCTATCACTATGTAGGTAGCGCTAAGGAAGTAAGAAGATGTAATTTGTGACTAGTCATGATGAACGTGGTAAGTGTGTGCTATGAAATGCTGTACTGATATGTGGAAGGTTCAGGATAGCAGGTATATGATCATCAAAATCAGTCTGCATAGAAGTAATTCATATCTTAGCACTACTGAGCTCTGTCAGTTGAAAGCGATTTGATGCAAATTTAGCTTGGATTTTAGAGACCATTCACTAGAATTCTCGAATTCACAAGAATTTTAGATATGCATTAGAAGTTTATTTGATCATCTTGACAATATTTTACATCTTAATATGTCAGGAATGTACCTCGTGAGGAGTGGTACGTGTTGATATCTACGCCAGAGCTCTATTCCAGCGTGTGGTACGACAGCAGCACAGGGATGTCCTATTTTCTTAAGACTGCAGTTTTTCATTATCCTCAATGAATCCATTCACTCTGCCTCCATTCACTGAGGAAGATCAGTGCAGTGTCAGGACTCCATCAAGTCACAAGGATGCACTGAAAAACTACTGCTAATCTTCGCAGCGTAGTGCGTCTGGACATGCCTTTAGGGGAAGCCCTTGACTGTTGGGGCAATTTTTCGCAAGAGAGGCGGAGCTGGGACAAGATGTGGAGCCGGAGTAACATGGAGCTGGCGGTATTGACTAGTCGCGGTGATTGTCTTGACTAGTCGCGCTCTTTCTCTAGCACTGTTCTTCGACATCATCATTATCATTATCATCATCATCATCATCATCATCACCGACATCACTGTAATCGTGCAGGTGTAGTGCTAAGTTTTACTCCATGAGAACAACCGGCGCATCTATTACAGGTTGGCCGCAAAGGTTCGAAAGCTGATTACTTGGCGCGACTGTGTGGTGGTAACGATACTTTGCGAGTAGGCCGAGTCGCAGTACGAGGGGAGAAGATGATGTCGTGCGTAGCTGATGAATTACCACCCTGGCTTTGTTGGTGCGTTGGTATGCCTGAAAAATTGTGCTTGCGGCATCTCACCAAACCCTTATTCCGAGACGGGGTCGTGCCGGACATTGCGGCGACTCATTATGGCTGCGACTCATGTGGAATCAAGGACTTTGCAAAGAGAGTGGGAATCTACAGAACGCACATGAAAAAGTGCAAAGGATATTGCTGAAGTAGTATAACAACACCTCAAGATTAGGTACAATCATCATCATCACTTCGCTTGGAAGAAGGCGCCGACTCACACCGTCACTACATTCTGAAGTATGTCATGATCTTCTGATTAAATACTTACCGTCTCTTTGATACTCTACCTCCTTTCTCTTCTAGTAGGATCTTCTGGTTACACAGTTCTACCTCCTCCTTTCTCTTCTA